TTATTTATTTTCGATCCACTTCTAGTCGAGCACGAGTAAGCAAATATTAGTTCGTGTTCGGCTCGTTTATATTTCGAGCTAAAAATTTATTCGTGTTCCACTCATTAGACTTAACGAACGAGTCGAGCACGAGCTGCTTAACGAGTCGAACACGAACTGTTTGCGAACAACGAGCTAAATCGACTGCCCTATTTGTGGTTTCGTCTGCAGAACACCTCTTGCAACTAGCATTTCTCCTTCATTTCTCTGGAGTAGGTATTCATCACTCTGGTCCTTAGATATTTCTGCATCACTCATTTCCTCCATGGCACCCTGCTCCATGAAGGACACCACTCGGTTGGTTGGGCAACTAGAGGCGATGTGCCTATATCAATGGCATCTAAAGCATTTTCTGGTTGATACCATATCAAGGGTGTTGTTCTTCTTAGGCTTCGTCCTACTCTAATATGTTTTGTCATTTCTCTACACAACCTTTCCCACTTCTCCAGACGTGTTGTTGTTGGGGTCTTCTGTAGGAGGCAGGTACCTCTGTTGTTTTTTATGTCTCTCCACTTTCAACGCTAAGATCTACATGTCCCTTAGTGTCCAATAGGTTTGCAGTTGCGTCATAATGATGGCGGACTTCAGGCTTCCCAAATACATGTCTATGGAGTGCTCCTTGGTCTCTTTTAGTTCACATTTCAACTTGAGCTGCGTAAATTTCATCATGTATTTCTCCACCGATAGCTCCTCCTGCTGTAATTAGTGGAGTCTCATGAAAATATTCTGGCAATGGTACGTGGATAAGTACTATCGCAACATCTTGTTCATCTTCTCCCAAGAAGTGATGTTGTTCCCAAGAAGTGATGTTGTCCCATCCTTTTCTTTGTCTCTCCCTCTTAAGATTATCCACTCTTTTGTCATTGGGCACATAATTGTACTCAAAAGTCCACTCAACAGTCTACATTCACTCGAGAAAATCATCCTCTCGAAGTCTGGTAGATCCACCTTAACCACAGTTCTCTGTGCTCTCTAGTAGACGCTTCCTTTCTCGGCCTCTTTTGATATTGAATTTCGAAACACCTGGGTCGATGTTTATCTCCATTGAAATCATTCTTATGAAAGGTGTTTAACTACTCTTCTTGCTCTCCTCCCCGGGTCTTATTGTTACGATTGATAGTGCCTTGCCCGTGGTCCTTTCCTCAATGGCCTCAAGTCATTGTATCACAAGCGTAGTATGTGTTGTAGGTTGCCCATGGTAAAGTTTTGCCCAATTTTCGGCAATTGGGGTTTAGAGTGGATGGTAGAAGGAGGTGTGTGAGTGAGGATAGAGTTTTTTTGTGGGGTGGGGTGGGGTGGGGTGGGGTTTATAGTTTGGTATGACGGATGCTAGAAATCCTAGGATATGATCAAGGTTAGGCTACCTCTAATGCCAAATGATACCGGAGTTAATCCAAACAATCACAAGCAAATAATATTATAATTGTAATGACGGACAAAATAATCCCTATTGGGGTGGTATTGCGACAATGGAGGCAGTAGAGAGGGGAGGCAGGTGGCTCTAGAAGGTAATTGGTGGGTTTTGGCTGCAAGAAGGACCGCTTTGTGGTCGGTTGGCCAGTGGGTGAGAGAAAATCGGGGCGGTGGTAGTGTAGGCATTGAGAGGAGTAGGCAGTTGTTGCCTGGGCTGATGCGCAGGGGTTATTAAGGAGCAATTGGTGAAGTGATGGTTGTGGAGGTTGAAGGGGCAACTGCGGAAAAAGAAGAAAAAAATGTTGAAAGTGTGTTTTTGGTGGGGGTGGGGGTGATCTCTCGGTAGAGCAAAACAGAAAAAACTAAACCCTGAGACAAGTGACAATACATAAATAGCGAAGGTAGGTCGGCACTTTTCAGAACCGTTCCCTCATTGAACCGGTCCATTGCTTGCAACAACAGCCCAATGCCTGGTTAAGCGTAGCAATGCCCGCATCAATATGCCTTTCAGTGCCATTTTTTCCACTGATTAACTTTAGACCAACACATCTTTAATGATTTGCGAATCCAAAATAGTTCTGCAACTGTTGTAATTACAAAATAAATTATGTTGTTTCTTGTGGTGTTAATCGTAAAATGGCTATTTTTTAATTGTTACACTTTAGCTGAATGATCAACTGTCATATCTATGATTGTGAATCCAAAAATCCATTTCCTATGATTTTCCTTATCATATACTGGCACAAGTTTATAATCGTTTTATGTTGCTCAACTCGATCATATCTCAGCCTTTATGAACCTTCATGCACATTCTTTCTTGCCTAGCATTTTTCTAGTCCTTTTGAGTTACGATAGAAACACCTCGCCACCGGATATAGCCCTCAGAGGGAATAGGAGATGTCTGAGATTTTGGTAGAATAAAATAGAAAAAAACTAAACCCTGAGAGAAATGACGATACATAAATAGCGAAGGAAGGTTGGCACTTTTCATAATCGTTCCCTCATTGAACAGGTCAATTGCTTGCAGCAACAACCTGGTGCCTGGTTGAGCTTAACAACGCTCGCATCAATATGCCTCTAAGTGCCATTTTTTTTCCACTGATTAACTTTAGACCAAACACATCTTTAATGATTTGCAAATCCAAAATAGTTTTGTAACTGTTGTAATTACAAAATAAATTATGTTATTTCTTGTGGGGTTAATCTTAAAATGACTATTTTGAATTTTTATACTTTAGTTAAATGATCGACTATCACATGTATGATTGTGAATCCAAAAATCCATTTCCCATGTCTTTCCTTGTCAAATACTGGCACAAGTTTACAATCGCTTTATGTTGCTCAACTCTATCGTATCTCAACTTATGTGATCCTTCCTGCACATTCTTTCTTGGCTAACTTTTTCCTAGTCCTTTTGAGATGCTAATCATGAACAATGTTGCCTGTAAGCTATTCATCCTGTTAGCTATTTTGCATCCATCTCATGCTCTTGATGTACTGGTGCATGGTTGCAAGGCTTGATGATAAATGATAGACTGGTGCTTTAGCTATTACCAAAAGTGGCAACTCATTTATCCTAAAAATCTTTATTATTATTTTTATTTAATTTATCTTTATTATTAATGATAATTTTCCTTTTTTATATTGTTCTTTATTATTCTCCCATTTTGCCTATATATATGCAATTATTTGCTTGTACTAGTACAACCATTGAGTAATGATTTATCATTTTACAATTATCTTTCTTTCTAACATGGTATTATAGTGTGGTTTTGATTTACTGATTGGACTCCTTTTCCCTCCTAAGTATGTATTGTCCAAGCTTTTCTTACTTTTTGATTGCATGCCCCTTCAGCCTCTGTCTCATGCTCATGAATTTCCCATAAGGATTTGTCATTTACACTTCCCTATAGCACACTTGAGGTTTCAATAAATGACACAACATGAAAATCAAGTATGAGCTTGACCTGGAAAAATTGTGTGGTTTGATTTGATTAACTGTTGGGTTCAGTTCGATTGAAAATTTTGACCCGTTTACTATTCGTTTTGGGTTCGGGTTAACCTCCTAACCCATATAATCTTTAATATGTAACTTTGTTTCTATTAGTTCACATTTTCCATTAGATAAGACATTTTTTAATATTCATTTTTGTATCCTATTTGTGTTAACTTTTTTTTTTATCTATTCTTATTTGCAAATATGTTCAAATGGTTATTTGGGTTGGATTCAGGTCCGTTGTGTTATAGGTGGATTGAGTTTGGGCTATACTTTTTGACCCTGTAAATAAATGGTTCGGGTTTCATTCATGTAGATTTGGGTTGAACTAGCCTAGGCATAGGGCTCATGGGACTCAAGATGTTGACACAATTGACTTTCTCCATTGATGGACCCGAGTTATACACGTGTTTCTCAATGTGACCGTGGTTATACCTACAGCCTTTTTCCTCGAGTGAGATAAAAGGTAGGATAATCTATGACATTGTGCTGGTTGCTCATTAATCAATCTTGTCTTCCCTATAATGTTGAATTCTTTATTGCTTTGCTCTACTTTACTCTCCATCAATGCTTTCTGTCAATACTCTTTGTGGACACTCCATATTATGAAACGTGCATTATCTGGGGAACAAAATTTTAACTGCTCATTTCTGGTCACAATCGTTTTTGAACCCAAGTTGATATCTATGCCATTTGATGCGTGCATGACATTTTATCAAATGTGACAACATATTTATATATGAATATTAACCATTTGTCTGTGTAATATGTTCTCATTTCTTAATCATATATTCTTTATTGTATTTGCATTTTGTTATTTCTCTTTTTTATATATACGTGCGTGTATTTGCTTGTATTAGTATAACAATATAGTATAGATTTAATACTTATTAAATCTTTCTCCTTCTCTAATAAAGACTATATCGAGAGAATTATGTCATGAATATTAGATTTTATTGGAAACAACTGTTACCAACAGATAATCCATACAAAATAAATTGAGAGTGATTGTTAGGTCGATGCAAAATTAAAATACTCATTCTCTAAGCATTGAAAGCCTAAAGGTTGATGTTATGTTGTGCAGTTGAGAACAAAGTACAAAAGCTGCATTGTCCGTTAATGTGATTTTTGAAACATTATCTTCAGTTTATGCGTTTGATTCCCATTTTAATTTGAAGGGATCGAAAAAACTGCATTTGTTATATAGCCATTAATGAGATTTTGAGTTACTAATTTATAGGAAGATTCACATACATAGCACTCGATTTCTATGTACTTACATATCTGACACTTAAACTTCATTTTTTTCATATATGCCACCCTACCTAAACATGAAAAGATGTATTTTACTTTTTAAAAGTCAAAATTGTGGTATTTTTTATGTGATGAGAAATATTTGGGTGGTATAAATATAGAAAGTGAAATTTTCGTGTTAGATATGTAAATGCATAGAAATTGTGTGGTTTGTATGTAAATTCCCCTATATTTATAATGATATTTTTCTTGAATTGTCATTCAAGCAAGATAATACTTAATGGCTGCTTGTTATCAGTTCCAAGAAATTTCAGATTGCTCGAAGAGCTCGAAAGGGGGGAGAAAGGCATTGGTGATGGAACTGTCAGCTATGGAATGGATGATGCTGATGACATCTTTATGCGATCCTGGACGGGAACAATCATTGGCCCTCACAATGTATGCTTTGCTTCTTCAAAATCTTTTAGGGATAATTACATGCATGGCACTTTCTTCTAGTTTTTTACAAAACTAGCATCTAGGCGAATTTACTTGTGCCAAGATAAAACCACTGGGAATTTGATAAAAATGAAAATTTGTTTTGACATTTGAGTGAACATTTGAAAAATGGATAAAGAAGGTGCTGATTTTTTAAATAGCAATGGTTTGAACGGTGTGTATGTAATTACCTCATTCTCTTAATACCTATATAGCCATTCACTTTCATAGAAATTTCTCTTCTAAAAAGCATTGATGTGAGTTCCTGCCTTCTTCTTAAAGACTGTTCATGAGGGTCGGATTTACCAGCTGAAGCTGTTTTGTGATAAAGATTATCCCGACCTTCCGCCGACCGCTCGTTTTCAGACCCGGATTAACATGACTTGTGTGAACCAGGAAACTGGAGTGGTAATCATCATTATGTTCATTATTATGTCATCTTAAGAGTATATTTTGTGTATATTTACATACATATCACCAATTCTTATGTTTTTACATATCTATCATGTAAACTTCAATTTTTTACATATATGCCAGTTTTTCTTGGCATGAAAAGGTGTATTTCACGTTTTAAAAGTTAAGTGAGAAGATATATTTGCAATGTATAAATATAAAAATCAATTTTCACGTGTTAGATATGTAAATGCATAGGAATTCAGCGGTATATATGTAAATGCCCCCTTTTTGTTTATTAAATGCCCCTCTTCCTAAATTTACCAGGTTGAACCAAGCCTGTTCCCAATGCTTTTAAATTGGCGAAGGGAGTACACGATGGAGGACATACTAGTGGCTCTGAAGAAAGAGATGACCTCTCCGCAGAACCGCAAGCTTCACCAACCTCCAGATGGTGAGCTTCTTCTTTCTTTAAACACTCAAAACATTTGCTGTAATTACTAATTTGCCCTCTTTTGGGTCCTGAATGAAATGAAACGTTGCTAATCTTGCACCATGGCTTAAATTTGTAGGCAATGAGGATCAGAGAGTGGAGCAAAAAGGTTTAGTTTTAAGGTGTGCTATTCTGTAAGAGTATCAAACTCGGCTATGTGTATGTATATTATATTATATATATTCCTCCGGAATTTATGCTTAGAATTAGATGGGATTATTTGCAAACTTCAGTTTAATCATCTTACATTTGGAACTGCACTCTTAATTTTCTAATAATGTAATAATTATTGGGAATTGATGTGGAGCTTGGTGTTATCCTTTTCAATTAGCATGTAATTTTTTGTCCTAATTTAATTTTAGGGCATTTAATATGTAAAACATAACAAAAATATTTAAAATTTTAATTTATTATTTTAAATTCTAAAAATATTTTTAAAGATAATTTTATATTCTATATCAAGTGATTTTTACTTTATTCGTCTCATAATATCCTTTATATAACAATGTAACTTTATTTGACAATAAAAATGGAAGATCTTGAGGAAGAAGTATATTTTACATTACTTTTAAATAAGTTAATTTAAAATTTATTATTCATCTAATCAATCACTCGACATGATATAAATAAAAAATATTTTGTAGATAATTGTAATAAAATGTTGAAAAAAATTATTGGATGTGGAATTTTGAATGCAAAATACGACGAAGTAATTAGAGGCAAAACAGTCGGTCTCCTCGCAACGTAATAACCATGAAATAGGAGAATGAGTAAAAGCATTCGCAAAATATATATGTATAATTTTATTATGAAATATTTTTGATGTATCATGTTTTAATATACGTTAATATTATGTTTAAAATTTTTTATTCTGACCCATTTTAATCTTTAAATCGCTTGGTAAAATTGCTGTTCAAACGTAATTAAACTTATATTCTAGGAGTTGTTTATTTCCAAGTCAATATGGTACTTTCACTTTTATTTTTATTAAAATATTAAACTAAAAACTTCCATGCGTTAACTATATTGTTGTACATAAAATATGGTGTTTGCGCTGATCTCGAAGAGGTCTGGTGGTTATGAAGAGAAGAGTATGATGAAGGCTAGCTCACTATCTGGAGATCATGGGGTAGGCCTAACCGAATGAACTAAGACACGAGTTGGATGCGAATACAATTGGCTAATCCTAGCACAATTTATCTAATCGGAAATGAGACAATAGAGTGCCAAAGCCAGCGACTGCAGAAAAAAATTACTTGATGTGGTAGCCTACCTCTCGCCAGTAGAGCCGATTCAAAGGAAAATCTAGTTTCACAAAGTAAATTTGACCACTCATGAAGACTCCAAAAGACTTGTTGCTAGGGATCAAAGATAGTCAATTATGTTAGATCAACCGACCAAACAATGCCGACCATGGTCAACCGATGGAGCTAATCCCATCGAGCAAAAGTGAAGTTAGCATAATCGACCAAGCCAAAAGGTAGTTGGCCGGTAAGACCATACTTGTAAAGTTTCAAAAATAACTTAGTACATACCCCTTTCAAGCAAGGGCAAAAATATAATATCTTTATTGAACTACCTATCCTATAAATAAGGAAAACATTCAATGAAGATGATACTATTCATTTTTGTTCATTACAATCTTTTTCTCTCTGAATCTCTTTTTGTTTTAGGTTTTATTCCGTAGGTGTGATTCACAAACAATTTCGGATTCAACACTATTATATTTGCGGAGAGTGTGGATTAAGCCACCAATAATAAAAGAGCCTTGAAAGGAGAATTTCTTCATAATAGAGAGACTCATGATAATGTAGAGTGTACCAGAGAATTTGAGGTCCAACAAATCTATAATCTAAACGAAGAGAATATATAAATGATGAGAGGTGCTCTGAATTAGTGGGTGCAACAAGCCCGACAAGATATCCCGACACCAAACGACTGAAGAGGCCTTCCCGCCTTAGAAAGGGGAGATGAAACCGGATACCTTGATAGTTCAGGGTCAGCATTGATCGAAAAACATTGGGTTTGGTGTGTCGACACATTGTGTCGACCTGAGAATATGTTTTTTTTGGTATATCTCAAATATCAAGCCATTAAATTGGTTCAAGATTTCGACGCTTGAATCTTACAACGGACGAACGAACTGAGTTTATCATATCACGTTCTCCGATTTGGCTGTAGATTTGTTTACGATCAATGATGCATTAAAGTGTTGATTATGCTTCACCACATTGGGGGATCTCGACTCTAAGATGGTTCAACGAAAGTCATTTAAAAAATTTAAGTAAATGTTCATTGCACAGTTTGCTAGCGCACAAAAATCCTATAAAAGTTCATTGTTACTCCTACAATTTTATCAGGGATAGAGTGAGACCCTGCATGCCTATGTTACTCATTATAGAAGGAAATGTTGAAGGTTCTATATTTGGAACTCACAGTCGCTAATGTGCCCCTTGCTCAAGTATTGAAAGAATAACCTTTTCGATACGTGCTGGGATTATTGTTGTCGAAGCCATCAACTTAATTGTTGGAAGTAAGCAACTATCACAACTCGACAGAAGCGCGTGATTCCCCCCAACCATTATTCAAAATAACGTGCTCGATACATCAAGCGGTGGTCTGCTCGATATGATGAGCGACTGCCACCTGCTCGTGAGATCCTCTGACAGACTCCAATGAAAACTGGAGTGTATATTTGAAACTCGAAGGTGAAGCAAATCAAATTATTGTTGGGAACATTGACATGGGACTTTGATAGCCTATGCATCGCGACTCTTAAGCCAGGGAGGCCAACTAACTCAACACAGGCGGAAGTGCACAAAAAAGTAGGAATAGGAAGGAGTCCCATCACCCCTTATTGACAAGAATCAAGAGTGCCACAATCAAGGGAGTTTAATTATTGAATTTTTAATTAGAGTTAAATAAAACATATTTTTTGTATTGAATTTACTTATTTTTATCATAACACCACTTTGAAGAAGTAAAAAAAAACATGGAACTAAAATATATAAATAAAAAAAAGTGGTTGCATTGATCAAAAAGATATCTATCAGTCCAAAAGAGAAGTAAGGTGAAAGCTGGCTCATTGCCAGTGATTATGGAACTCATATGACCAGATGATCCAAGTTACAACGCGGATAGAAGATAATCAGATAATCCAAACACAAGTCATCCAACTAGAAATGAGACATAAGAGCATCTGAGCTAGTCACTACTAAAAAGCTAACTTGATGTGATAGCGTACCTTCCCTAGTAGAGTCCATCCAAAGAAAGGTATAGTTCCACAATGTACCTCCAATCATCCCATGAAAACTCCAAAAGTCCAATGAACATGGATCGAAGATAGTCAATGAGGTCGGATCAACTGACCAAACCATACCGTTCAAGCCCATCTAATCAAGCTGACGACATCGATCTAAAGTCAACTAAGCTAAACTGACCAAGCCAGACTTTAATCTCAAAGTTGTAAAATGCCAGAAATACTTTAGTACATACTCTTTCCAAACATGACTATAAACATGAGAAATATTTAATGAAGAGGATACAATTCGTCAATGCTCATTACTATTATTTTTCTCTTTCTATCTCTTCTTATTCTATGCTTTATTCTTGGGGCTTGATTCACAGGCATTTTGGGATTCAAAAATTTCATATTTAATCAATAAAAGTAATGATACTAAAAATATTACAAATACAAGTTATTTTAAATAATTAATAGGTGTTATGAATATGAACAAAAAATATTTGAAAAATTGGACAAATTATTTTTTGGAAAAAAGAAGCGTCCTTATTAAATTATGATGTAAAATAAAATTTCAAATTATTTAGTTTATTTCAAGAAGTGTATAATATGAAATCCTGCCGACAATTGATCGTCCAAAAAGTACGGAGGCACCCGTTGATGCCGAGCCCGGCGTCGATCCTTTATAACGCGCCACTATCTTGTACAAAGCTTTGTAGCCGACTGTTCGAATATTTTCGGCCCTGCTTCATTTCGCTCTTCTCGGACTTTCTTCCCCTCTACTGCTCTTTTCTGTGCTACGAATGCCCTAAAACCCTAGTTACCTCTTCTCCCAAAGCCTTGTTATGTCATGGCTTTCCAAAAGGCCGGCGACAACCCGAACATTCCTTCGCGATTCGGCGAAAAGACCGCCATGCAACTGCAGCACGAGACAAGGGCGGATGATCTCGATGTATTGCCGCTTTCGCAGAGGAAGAGGATGCTCATCCATCCTGATGTGCTCTCAAAGTGCGTTGTTTCTCGGCTACCCATTCGCTTCCTTTTTCAGTTTAATCTCATCACGCCTCTTAAATTTATGTTTCTTTTTCTGTTTCTTTTTCTGTTTCAGGGGTCTGAACGTGAAGCAACTCATTCCAAACTTCAGTAAGGTACCTTTGATGTAAAAAAAAAATAGGTCCATTCCGTAATCATGGATGGACAAACGGCAGTGCCACGTGTTGCAGCTTTTGTAGCTGTTTCCTGGTGAACGATTTTGTGGGTTTTTGAGATTTAATGGTACTTGAGCTAAATTATGGTGCACTGTCTTCTTATCTTGTTTTTTTTTGTATACGACGAATTTCTTAAATCCCGCTCTTCAGCACACTTTAGCTCTTTTCCGTGGACTTATCTCTTGCAATTTCTTATGCCGTACAATCTGACATTCCAACTCACAGTTTCTTGTGATGTTTTTTTTTTTAAATCTTACTATCTTCCTCTACCTCATTAGCTCATTTTTTGAAATCCTCTTCCTTGTAAAATTCATTTTTCAAGTAACAAAAGGTTAACATCCTCTTCGAGGTTTCTGCCCCTTTAGGAAGAACCCTAACACAGTGAGCATGTAGGTAAGAATGCTTGAATCAATATAACATAGTTTGTCTTGTAATAAAAATGAGGTGAAGCCTTACCTTGCTCCCTTGAGGGACATTTATGGGCTTTTAGTAGTGAAGGTTATTTTAATACTGTAATGCATCACATGTTGGTGATATGAGCCATGTCCATCTGAGTTTCATATTGAACAAAATAGGTGTTTTGTTCTCCAATTGATCGAAGAGTGGGAAATTGAGCCACACCTCCTCCAAGACTTGTGTTGGATCATTGTACATGCAATAATGATGAATAGATTGATAGAGGCTTTAGGCTCTTAGAGTAGTTAGAATAGTATTGATGGAGATTTGAATGATATGATTGTATCCATATCAATATTTATAGGATCAGTTGATGTTCATCTAAATTGGATGCCTGGACTCATGCCATGGTTTCGGAGATTGTTGTTGGTGGGATGTGCTTCATGAAGGTTGATTGACTCGTTAATATGAAATTTGAGATGTTTGTATGGTGTGGGAACTAGAAGGACCGTTTTCTTACTCTTAGCGCATGTAGATTATTTACGCGCTAGTATTGATGCCTTTGGTATAACAATTGGTATAAATTACGAGCTATTTTTAATGCTTATATCAATAATTATATGAGATCCATTATTTTATTGCAGATCAAAACTTTGCTCATTATATTAGTCATCTTACCAGTCAGATTTCAGTCTTGATTGCTATTAATGGTTTAAATTTGATCATTCTTTTATATCATGGCTAATTTAAGCCCTTTGGAGGTGTGTGTAATTTTATGGTGAAGCTCGGTTATATTTGAGCTATTAAATTGCTTCCAAATTTGTTTTTTGATGGGATTAACTTGTTTAAGCAAACAAAGGCTGAAGAATGACCTGTGTACGGTGTTAATGGATCGGTGCATTGAATATATTGTTCAATATTGATTCTAAAGAGATTTTATATAAGTTTGTAGTTGGAATATTGCATGGTTTTGCCCTGCCATAGGAGAGACATGGCCGTCCATCTCAACCAACATTATAATTTACTTAATTCAATAAACACAAATTCCATTTTTTAGTTGTGACATCTTGTTGAATGATAGAGAGAACTGGGGAAGCGACATAAGATATACTTAACCATCCTTCCTGTTCAACCCAACTACGGAGCACAATTTATCTAGTGATGACATGCCATCCAATTTACATGTATTCTTGATCAAGCAATAGAGATTCTTAGTTTACCATTTCTTATAGGCGGTCACAAGTTTGCGCCCTTTGTCAAGGTGACATAGGAGGGGTATCGTGTTTTTGAACTTTCAACTAGGAGACTCGATTGAGTATATAGTTTAAAATGCCAACTAAGTGCCATTTACCCTGCTCAGTTTTCTTATAAGGAATTCAAGTAGGGCACTGATAATTTGCTTGTGCTGTCCTCGATCTCTCTTCTCCGCGATTTTCCCTAAACTTTTATTTTTTTAATTCCACAATTATGATTCTATTCCTATTTATTTTCATGGTCTAGCTTCTTTATTGATCCAAATTTTTGTTTGACTAGAGACTCGGTAATTTTGAGGCCATGAAGAATGCACAAAGCTTGGATTCAACAATTATGACCTTGTTATGGTTTATTTACTTGGCCTTTCTTTGATTGATTACGAAACTTTTTTTCCTTTTTGTATAGTGAAGGAAAAGAAAAAGTGTGAAGAGTATGATGGTAAATAATCTAATTCGAGATGCTATAGGCATTCATGACCAGCATATTGTGCACATTATTTTATTTAGTTTTGAGTTCTTAGTTCTTTTAATTATTCAGATTTGCATATGTTTCTGAAGATTGAAGCAAGTATTTGTGATGTTTTTTTAGTGTCTAAGCACCTTGTACTTTTTGCCATATTTGTTTTTCTTTGTTGAATTTTTTGAGGTGCCATAATCCTAGTTTTCAAGCAAGTCGTGGCTTCATCCATCAAGTCATTAGTTCACTTGACATTCTGTTTATAATTTTTTTAGTATAAGGCATGATATGATGAGCCCAATAATGCCAAATATTATTTTTTTAACCAACTTTGATAAACTTGTGGTAGTTGTTCCACATATTTACAAAATTTGGTATAAATAGCAGTTCATTCTAGTTGATGATTGTTTCATTGTTATGTCCCAAATGTGTCTTTTATTTTCGTTGAGCTTAGCTCATTCCTTTTTTTTATCTATTGTTACTATATTATTGGTGAACACCTATCTTCTTTACGCACGAAGTCTTTGATATAATATCAAACTCGTATCCACCAATCAAATATTATTGTTTTAACATTTTTACAAAACTCTATTTTTGCAGATTTCAGTGCATCTCCATTATTTATTAGGGTCCATTTTTCAAAATGAGATATGATGTCACGAGTTAGCTCAGGAATTTAGAATTACAAGGAGGGAACTGAAAATTGGATGGTATAGAAATATTATTTTCAAAATTTAAAATAATAAGAAAATATCATCCAAACAAATAATACTAAAATTCAACATTTCTAATCCATATTCCATCTCACATATATAAACATTAAAGTTGCAACAGTATTTTTTGTAAAGAAACATAAAACAAGATACAGTATATTTTCCTGGCACTTATTTTTGGTTGTTCATCTTCTTCTATATTCAAATTCTCAACTGCTAGTCATTAGTTTAAATGAGTTTTTTATGTAATAAACATGAAATCACATGTTAAGTCATGCAACAATTTAATGAATGATTAGAGTTCTATAATATACTAATTTTTATGCATATGCTTTTACATGCATGCTGTTTCAAAATAATTAAACGTTAACATTTCATTTTTCTAAAAAGATTTTAGGCATTAAATTTTGTTTCATATAAGGCACATCCATTTTTATTTTGCTTTTTAATTCTTTTTCTTTTTTATGTGTGTGGATACAATAGCGCACCCAACTGATATTACAAGGAGTTACTCTTTTGATTGACTTAAACATTCATTTCACTTGATTATCATTTTGTTTCTTTTAATTTTTCAAATATTAAATTTCTGAAGTGAATGTCTAAGTGAGAAACAATGCTAAACATATGATAGCGATTATTTGATTACATGAAAGTAAATGTTCAATTAATTTATCAATGATCATCATGTACTGAAAATTTTTTAAGGTACGGTTCTGTTGATATCATAGAATCAATTAATGCATGTAAAATCGAATATTAATGTAATTAGCAGAAAGTAGGAATGTTATAACTCATCCCAATAGATTATTTGTTCTGTTGCTTAATCTCTTACCTCCACTTCCTTTAGCCTCTTACCTATTAACTTAAACTATATTAGTATTTTCTTACAATTTTCTTTCAAACTTTCACAAGGACTAGGTTTCCAAAGTAAGTATTAAATCCTAAGGTAAGATGGAATTAATAAGTATAATTTAGCATTTTTAACTTCTCTATTAAATTTCTAAATTTCTAAATTCAATTTTTCCTTCTTGTGAAATATTTTTTTATTCTCGTCTTTCTATTTTATTTATCCTATTATAATATTAATAACTTTCTTTTGAAATAAAATTAAGCATAAGGTTTAGAAAATTACCTTAAGCAGACTTATTGTTTTATTTAATCCTGTCTTTCTCTTAAACCGACTCTTCTCAAGTGAGACAAATCGAAACCCTAAATATTTCTTCAAATTTAAAGTCTCTATACAAGAATACAAGAATTGCAAGTAGAACCTGACATCTCAATTCCTCTCTTCTTCTTACATAATCAGTGATCATGATCTTTTATAATCTTTCGATTTCTATATTTGTTAACTTTTGATTTCTGACATGATGTAATAAAGGCTAATATTAATATATAATAAATTTTAAATTAAACTATATATTTTTGAAATTAAAAATCTTAACCTTTAATTTTGTTTTCTTTACTCTGCTCGTTATCGTTGCTTTGACTGCTTGCGTAACTCCTTTTTCAGATGACTTGTGCACAATCCCATTGCCTGTATGCAACTTGTTTTCTCCCACAAGCGGCACTTGGCCACACTATTCTTGCAGGTGTCATTTCCCTCCCCACACTGATATCTTGCTATCTTGTCATCTACACTGTTTGCTTGCATCCCACTGGCCCCGTCTCCTTCACACAAGAGTCACCAATCTCTTGCACTCAATGTCTTCTCCCGCATGTTGCGCTCAACAACGCATGCGCCTCTGGCCAGCAGTACCCTGTACCGTTTCTGCACGCATCATTGATTAGCTTAGTGGTTTCCTATTCTCATGTGATAGTCTTCTATGCTCTTCACTATGCTCTTGTTTGTGTTTTTTTGGGATAAACTCTGCTTATTTTCATCCTCTTTTTCACATCTCCAATCGGTTCATCGGTTTCTTCGAACTAACGCAGCGGGTTCAACTCTTTTTTTTTTCTAACCGGCTTTTGCACATGGAATGCTTTTTTACTTTTATAGGCTAATGGAAATGTTATTTTTATGCCATCAAATAATTTTTGTAGTGGACATTTTGAAAATTCAAATCTACAGCACATATATCTGTACTTTTTCGTGAAATTGTCTATTTCTACCTTGCATGGTTGTCTTCTTATTAGGAGTGGCCTGGTTTGCCTAGAGGCATCCAATTTGATCCATCAGATGAAGACTTGCTTTGGCACTTGCGGAAGAGGTGTGGCTAAGCGTCATCCCTTTATTAACGAGTTCATAATTTCCCTTGATGAAGATGATGGATTGGACAATGTTCATCCTCAATTTCTACCTGGTATTTTGTTAGAAGAATCATTTCTTTTTATGCCCCCATAATTATTACAAGATTTTGCTGATAGTTTTCATTATTAGGCGTTAAACAGGATGGAAGCAAATCATACTTTTTCCATAAAAAAGTTGATATGAACAGCGGTAGAAAGTTGAAAAGACAAAAGAAACATGACAGCTCTTTTGAGATCTACTGGCATAGCGATGGCAAATTGAACCTAGTATCTGTAGATGGTATTCACCAAGGGTTTAAGGAAGTGTCGACTCTCTATATGACCCCAGCGAATGGTGGGAGCCATGTAAGAACTCCTTGGGTAATGCACCAGTATCACATTTGCATAAATGGAGCTGAGGAAGACATGGTTGTTTCCAAAATTTTTTATGAGATGAACTCTAAGCCGGACATTCAAGATTCACGAACAGATTCTTTGGATGGTTTTGTTGCAGAAGTGGTTGCTGTAGCTGCTCCTTTCCAAGCGGCGCCTGAATCTTTTGAGAGTTTACACGTTGAATCTGTTTCTGTGGAGGCATCAATTCAGGTTTTTGCCAGACTTACACCAGCTGAGTTGACTATAGAGGAACTTTCTCAGAAGTTTTTTAGCATCAGAACTAATATTTTGATTTCTTAAACAATATTTCTTGATTATGTTTATTTGTCACTTGTATTGTCTGCCAATTCTTAGCATTGCTGTGTTTTCTTTTTCATGTTTAATTTCAATGTTATGAATATAGGGAAGAAATTTATAGAGGAACTTTCTCAGTAGGTTTTTAGCGGTAGTTGTAGCTATGCATAACCGATATTCTGATTTCTTGAACAATGGTTCCTGATTAAGTTTCTTTGTCATTTGTATTCTCTGGCCAATTCTTAACATTGCTGTGTTTTCTTTTTCATGTTTGATTTCAATGTTATAAATATAGGAAAGAAATTTATGCATCATGTTTTTCTCAAGCTAACTTATTGTAGGCTTCTCTGATATTACAGGTAGAGGACCGCTGCATCGGAAGTGAAACAAATGTTAAACATGAGGGATATTTAAAATCGGACAGCTTTCAAACATATTTTCCCACTGCAAACTCTGAAATCAATGTTAAGGATGAAAAGGACCCTGTGGCGGGGAAAAGAAATGTGAGTTGTTCTGATTCTGAACATTAGTCTCTTTCCAGGTCTTCTTCAATCTTAATGCATACTTCTGTTTCTATTAAGATTAATATGCGTATGAGGAGAAAACATTTTGAGGGGCTGCTTGCCACTTCTAATGCATATTTTGGTATGCAATGTATGTGTACTTGAACATGTGCATATATATTAGCGTGTGACTTTTTTTATCGTTGCTATTGCTCTAGCTAAGGTAGATGGGCTTTTCTCTCTACAAAACAGATTGATGTCCAAGGTTTCCTGTGTTTTTTTATTTATGTTTTTGTAATTGGTATTGCCTTTAATTTTCATTTTGTCAGCCAATATGTAAATGTCTACGGATAGTCATGCATGAGTATCAAATCACCATGCCTTTTCTTTTGCATTAAATTGTATCTGTTTTCATTTGTGACATTTAAATCACTTCATTTAGTGACTCCTCCACAATTCTCCCACATATCCCAAGCATCAGGATGCTCCAAAGAGCCTTCTTCAAAATTCCTATCTTACAATTGGACTCATAACAATGTGGCTAATGTTTCTTTGTGAAATTGATTACTAATATCTTATTCTTCATCCAAGTGTTTGATGAAACAAATAATAATTATAAAATTGTTTGTTTTTTAAATTAGGAAGGATAGATTGAAAAATAATTTGAGGGACAATAGTTCACATTAACTGTAATGATAAGATAATTGATATACACTATGATAAAAGGAATAAATTACTTGTTTACAGAAGATTAAATCATGAAGAAGGGAAATTTTGATGCGCAACAAGAGCATGAAATTTTTTTTTAATGAGGGTTTGAAAATTATGGTAGAGCTTCAAAGTATTTTGGAGAGTTTTAAATTTTAAAAGTTTATGAATAGGTGGTAATTTATTGCTTATTGAAATTATTATGTGAGGTCTTTATAAATTATGAGAGTGTATTATTAATATTTATCAGAAATTGAAATAATGTCCACTAATAATCATTTAACCATGACTCGGGTGGCCAAGAAAGATATAGTAACTTCTAGCAATTTCGAAACTTGATTTTTGGAGCTTTGATAAAGAGACTTCTCAAATTTTGCATTTGCTTGGAAGATGACAATTTACCTCCTAATTGCTTGTGGGCTTAAGCCAAGCATGGAAAATATGGATGCAAGCTAGCAACATTCAAGATGGCCCACAGAAAGAGAAAGAAATAATGCAAATACAAGTTTTCATGTATTTTTTTTATGTTCTTGGGATAATTACATACATAGCACTTGAAGCATCACTATTTACAAAATCTAGCGCCCATTTAAAATTTTTGAACTGCCGAACAGATGTATTTACATGCGCCGCAATCAAACCATTCAGAATTTCATAAAAATTAAAAATATGGGTTGAGATTTTATCATGAATTTTGATATTTGAGTGAGAATTTGAAAAATGGTTGAAAGATTGTGCTAGATTTGTAAATAGCAATGTTTCAGGTGCCATGTTTGTAAACAACTTTATATCTGTCCGATCCCTGTCTCCCTTTCCTCTGATTTGACATGCCTTTACATACTCACGTACTCCTTGTATTGAATTAGAAATGGAATTTATTGACTTTATGTTAAATGTATTGCAAAAAGGTTAGAATTGGAGCCCTTTACTCTGGGAAGCTTGTGGATTTCACTGTAGTTATTATTGGAAACATATTTTAGCTTCCGCATTTGAAAAAAAAAAAAATGATTGCAATCCACCTTCCACCACCTGTGTCAGAAGCACCTCAACGTGCTGATAATGGCTGATTATAATATTTATAGATCAATTGTATTACTTTTCAACAGCATTAAAATTAATGATAAAATAGGAAACAAAATTGTTTGTGATATGCATGATTGATTGCTTTGTTATAATGATTTTGTTACAAGGGCGCCTAACCTAAGAACAATTTTGTCTTTTGTACCCTGAAGACCAATTTAGTCTTTTATTATTATCATTGTTGGGTATCAATAGACTTGTTATCTCTAGGGTTAGGTTTATGTATAAGATTGAGTTGTGAGTCTTAGGTTTAGGTTTTGGGTGAAATTTCCTACCTCTCGAATTGTAGGAATTGGAAGGGATCGCCTACCTCTCGAATCGTAGGCGTTTAATCTTTGTATTCTCATTGATTTGTTTGAATTATTGAAATAAAAAAAATCTGTTTTGCCCTAATTTTTTTCTGTAAAAGCGTGCTAATTTTGATGTCAGAATTGTATCAAATTAGTATCAGAGATACGATTTATGGGAGATCAGCATGAAATTGCTGCCAGCGGGGGGAGTAATCGTTGGTTGCGTGAGAACTAGCTGAGAAGCATCCGCGAGATCCAAAATTTAGGATAGAGACGACAGTATCACAAAATTAGAGCTTGCTGGGAAAGAGACGTGCGAAGAACCGCGATGAACTAAGATCCGAAGCTCCCATTGTTCACCTTTTCTCGCGCCGTCTTCCCGTGCAAGCACATGTAAGGCAACGATGAGATCTTGGCTTCTTCGTTGCAGCTCAATGTGCCAATAGCAATGTTGAGATTGTAGCTTTTTCACAAGTGATGATGGCGGCTTGCCAAAACCCGATACTCGCTTCTTTCTCCTCCTCACTTTTGTAAGCTACGATACGTGGTACAATAGCGATTAGATCTAGCCGGGAAAGCGGAAGCAAGACATAGAGACCCGAAACTTCCATTCTTTCTTCCTCTCTCGCCATCTATGCGATCCAATCGCGATCAGAGCTATATGGGAAGGCAGGCACAAGGGATCGCGACACATAGGGACCCAAAACTTCCATATTCGAGGATCGCGTCAATTTGTGCGTAGACGGTTGCGGTAGGTTCTACTTGGAAGCGAGGACCGGTTTGACGGGATTGACTTGATCATGAAACATTGATTTGAGGTACAGTTGTGATACGAGCTAGTTGAGGACATACAATGGGAATTTAGGTTATTAAATTTGTCTTTGAGATAGAAACTTTTTTTGAAATAGATGACGTCAAAGAATGTAGATGATCTGGAGAAAAAAATTAGAGGAAGAGATTAGTCAAATCAAATCGGGAATGGAAGTGAGGTCCGCCGCTATGGAGGATAGGTTTTCTTCCACTAAAAGTTGAATGGAGGATGGATTTGAGAGCATAAGAGAAATGCTGGAGATGATGGAAAAGCTCATGGAGATGCAATCCAAGGTTGTGCCGATCGCTTCAACTGCAAACGTTGACTAAGGGTTGATCAGGGAATCATTAGCCAAGACAAAAGAGAAGGAGATCGAGCGAGAAGACAATGAAGAAGACATCATTTATCAACAAGAGTGCTCCCCTAAGACTCGAGTGAAGGGGGGTGGAGACTTTCGATGGAGGGGATAGGCCGAAAATTGGAGGGATGATTTAAGTGGCACGAAAGAGCACGATGGAGGCATAAGGGAATTGAGAGTTAGGTATGCCTACGACTGAAGGAGGGAGTTCCACCTTCTAGATACATGGAGGGAAATGTCGAAGGAAGCAGAGTTTGGGGTGGAGATGTTGAAGTTAGAAAGTTGAAGATGCCTTACTTCGAGAGGGGAAGACGCACAAGGGTGGGTGTATAGAGTGGAGTGATACTTCACAATGAATGAGTTAAATTGGGAGGAGAAACTCATGGCGACAGGATTGTGTTTGGAGGGGAAAACCTTAGCCTGGTTTCATTGGAGGGAGACTAGATACCCAATTCGTTTTTTTGATGAATTTAAAGATTGTTTGTTGGAATTTTTCCAAGCCATTCATGAAGGAGACCTTACATGAGCAATTTTTTACTTTAACTCAGGAGGAGATGATCATGAAATATAGGGAGAGATTGGAACTATTATTGGGATGACTGTGGAGGATTTTTGAAGTAGGACTAGAGGGGAATTTCATGAAGGGCTTAAAGCCCAACATACGAGCAACACTCAACATACGAGCAACATTGACTACTAAGACCGCGTGATTGAGGGAGATAATGGATCTAGCCTAAATGGTGGAAGACAAGAACCACATGAAGAAAGCCAATAGGAGCAACACAGATGGAGCATCATACAAGACTGTTGCAACCACTACGATGCCAAAAGTTCAGACAGTGGAAGTCCAGAGGGAGACTGCACGGGACAAATAATGGACCACAACTGGGAGCAACACTCAAGGGTCTGACATAGACAGAGATTCGGGAGAAGCGAGCCAGGGGTAATGTTTTTAGTGTGATGAAAAGTTTACCTCAGGACACCGTTGTAGGGATCGAGGATTACAAGTCCTCATAGTGCTGGACGAGGAAACATAGAATGTAGAAATAGAGGCAGTTATGGAGGAGGAGGAACACTGTCATTTTTTCTCATCTTGAGGGCAAGGTGTCTTAGGAGGGCGCCTAGCTAGAGGACAATTTTGTCTTTTGTACGCCTAAGGGCAATTTAGTCTTTTATTGTTATTATTGTTGGGTATGAATAGACTTGTTATCTTGGGTTAGGTTTATGCGTGAGACTAAGTTGTGAGTATTAAGTTTAGGTTTTGGGAGAGATTTTCTACCTTTCGAGCTGTAGGAATTAGGAGAGATCGCCTACCTCTCGAATCGTAGGTACTTAATCTTTGTATTCTTATTGATTTATTTGAATTATTGAAATAAAAAAATCTGCTTTGCCTCAATTTTTTCTGGAAAAGCGTGTTGGTCTAACGTCGAATTATGTCAGATTTTTGGCACATTATTTTTTGACTTGTTAGGGTGAAATGAACTAACAGATCATTGCATGTTGGCGAACTTGGTCTTGAATTGCAAGAGTAGGTGAATTCTCTTTTGCATCTCCTGGAGATAAATTTTATTCTTACTATTTTCTATTTTTCCCTATATGATGTGCAGATAGATTACGCTATACTAATTAACTTGATCTGAACAGTTATACAATTTTCGGTTAAGAGATTATTTGTTTTCAATTTGCTCTTTATTTCTTGAATCTGTGCTACTTTGCATGCGGTTCGAAATCTACTGATTGTGCTTATTCATGTGGTTAAATTGATCCATGTCAGCCCTCCATGGAGGCATAGCATCTTGCCCTCTTCTCTAGCGCATCTCCCTAGCCGCATCACTCCAGGTGACACTCCACACATGTGGAATGCTTTAGGCGGCATCAGCTGTTCCCTATGGCTATGGTTTAGGTAGCTTTGCCTGCACAAGTTACCTGCATTGCTTAGCGCATTGGTCTCGATTTTGCCAGCAGTGAGGGCACTTGAACAACATGGTATTTTCTCGCTTGACAACGTTCATGTCATCATTGCTGGTTTTGCATCACTTTTCTCCATGTGCCTGCATTCATCCATTTTGACGCAACACTGTTGTGGGGCATTTGTGAGGCCTGATTCACTTCTTGATGTTGACGCCTTGTGGCATTGGTATCTATTATGACCTCATTGGCTTCCTAAGCTGGTTCTGTTATGGTGTACTCGTCAATATGGTCAGCGATTGTTTTTTTTTGCTCTTACTTTGGTATGTTAATGGTTGTGGATGCTCGATTTTATTGATCATTGTTGGGATTTTTTTCACTTTAAGATTCATCTGAGCATTTTTGTATCCCAACTTCTGTCCCTAGGACTTTTGTTGACTCTACATGAGGTTGCCGTCTACCCCGTTTGGTGCTTAGATGACTGATCTTACTTCCGCCCCAATGGTGGAGCTTACCCTTGTTAGTGCTTCGGTGATTGTTCCTTTACTTCCTTCTCAATGGTTGTGCCTCCTTTGCCTCAACCTCCAGACCATTTTGCTAATGTTGTTCATAATTCGAATGTAGTGGATAATTCGAATGTTGTGGGTGTTTTCTTCTTCTCAATCAATGAATTTTCAATTTCTTTCATCAAGCTTCAGAATCTTTAACATAAACAACCTTGTTTTTCTAGGTACAGCATGCTATCTTATTTTTTGATGAATAAATTTCTATGGTTTCTTGGTCCCTCAAACTTTGTATTTATTATTGGTCGTCCTTGCATGACATTAATTCACAACTTTCTGTTGGATTTAAAGCTGTTATGTGATTACTCTATTTGCTAGAAGCAGATTAAATAGTACTATTCTCACGGTGGCTCTATTATATTAACGAGCTTCAAATTCACATGTTACAATGGCTCCCTCATTTTGATTGCTTCATATTGTCTCCAGTCACTTTAGTTTGGATATCTTTTTCACTGCTCTGTTTGCATATTATTTCAACCAAATTCACATGTTACAATGGCTCCCTCATTTTGATTGCTTCATATTGTCTCCAGTCACTTTAGTTTGGATATCTTTTTCACAGCTCTGTTTGCATATTATTTCAACCAACCTACATTGTTCTCTTTGGTTTCAATCAGAAAAATCTTTTAGGTGGATGTTGCAATAGCTGGTTTTGCCAGCCTTTCTGTTGCTGGTCTTGGTGGAATTGAGCATTATGTACTATTTCATATTAATTGGATCTCCCTCGTTCGGATAATAGTGAAAGGTAGAATTTAGAAGTATGCTATCATATTTTTCTTGTCGGATTTTCGGATATAATTTTTTTAAATCTTTCAAGACTCATTTAAACCTTAGATAGGACCATAGGTGGAAGATTACACTTCTATTGTTCAAATATGTTCTGAAAATCTAGATCTAGGTTCAATTTCAAGAGAAAGTTATTGAGTTTTCTACTTCTCCTAGCTCTTTAGTGCTGGTTATTTCATCTATTACTGAATTTATCAAAGACAATGCTCTGCAAGTTTTTGAAACCTCCCATCCTATCTCCTTTGGTGAACAAGACAATGAATATTTTTCAGAACTTAATTCTAATTTCGATTGTAGCATTTGCTTGTAGCATTCAAAGTGTTGACTCTTTAGTGGATAAATGATCCAATATTCTTTATACCAAAAAGGGCATAAATTAGAAGAAAATTTGTTGTCATTCCTTTATTTTTCCTAGATTTAAGTCAAATGATCCAAATGAATTATTTCTTGCTTTTTTCTGCTTGGTTGTATTTTTCTTCTTGTGCTAGAATTATTTCTAGCTTTTTGTAGCCGACCCCACGTAGTGGGATTAAGGCTTTGTTGTTGGTGCTAGAATGTTGTAGAAGTGCCTTTGATATACTTGTATTGTTATCTAGCTAATATAATTTGCTTAAAAAAATGATTTTGCCATATTCTCCTTCAAAATTTATTGAAGTTTATCTTGTTAGTACCAAAAAGAAGAAAAAATTAATTATTATTTTTTTCCAGTTGAAACCAATGTATGTTCAAGGTTGCTAGTTTAGATTGAGTCATGATCTGTTTATATGTTGAAATAATTTACAAATTCACGATTTTTTTATTTTAAAATGCTTTATATTGTGGTGAAAAGGTAAATATGGTTTTAATTCAACTCAGAAAATTTTTATGGAGTCTTTTTTCATTCCTGTTTTTTACCTTGACCAGCTGTTTTCCTGCTGCCAATAAAAAGTGGAAAGATTTTTTTTTTCCATCTTTAAATGACTGCTGCTTATATTTTTCCATTGATGCTTCTCCTATTTGCATTAGATCACGATGGGCATCCCTTTAGGTAAATCTTCTAAAAATTACTCAATTTTTCTTGTTTCTGAGTCTGTTTGGGTTAGTGTAGGTTGTTGATTTCTAATGTTTTCATGTCCTTGAACTACATGCCCTACAGGATGATTCTTTGTCTAATTTCAGTGATTTTGGAATCAACATAAATAACTCCAATTATGATGAAGTGATAGATGATGATGCAAATTTTAATGATGCACTTTTGTCTATGGAAAAGCCATGTACAGAAAGAGCTCCTGACAATGTTTGTCAGAAAAATGTCGTTGATGAAACATATAGAACTAGATCTGGTGAAATCGATAAAACGGGCATTTGTTCGTTTTCAGGCTATAAATCAAGGGAAAAATTCGAAGAAGATTCCAAATGCTTAGATCAACCACATGCTTCGCTGAATAAAATCTCAAGTGCCGAGCATGGCATTGCTAGGGAGGATACTGTTAATGATCTATTTATTTTAGGCTTGCCCGCTTACAACTTAAAAGGAAAACCTTCCAAAAAAACTTACCCAGAAATTGCTTTTGAAAAGAATTCCAGTAATTGGGTAAATATTTCATCCCAATCAGCTTTTCCTATCAAGATAGAACCCAAATCTTTTGAAGAAGAAGCTGAAATTGGTTTTGCATCTGCTCTTATTAGGTCAACTGCCTCAGCTTCATCAGGTTTGCTTACTAAGGTGAAAACCGAATCTATTGAGGGAGCTGATGCAAGCAATATGCTGAGATTATTTAGTACTAAGTTATCTGGTTTGGGTGAACAGCTTTCAGAGACTAATTGTTTGATCAATCAGCATCCTGAAAAAGATGATGACGTTCGTGATGATTTCTTGATAAGCAACAGGAATTTACAAGTTAGACTGGATAGTGAATGTTATCCGGAAATTAATGTTCATGCTGAAGAGCCAAAATCCATTTCTGTTTTATCGAGTAGTTTGCTCAGTGTTAAATCTGAGCCTGTGGGGAGCAAACTTCTGACTGATTTGCAAATTTATTCTTGCAACACCAGAGAACATGTCTCCTTGATGTTTGAGGATAAAACAGAGCTTTATAGTGACTCCGCACCAGACATTATAGATCACGTTCCATTGAAATGTAGGTTGGGCCTCTTTGTTTCTGAGGGTGATGTTAATGTCAAAAGTTGGAATTTCTCAGAAGAAGTTGCTCTTGGTTCTGTAAATACTAAAGAGTTCCTATCCTCTAGTAGAAGGAAAAGGAGGAGAACTGCAACGTAAATGGCGGACACCTTTCTTGTTTCATTTCCTATTTTAAAAATAAACAATGTCAAAAGAGATTATGTTTTCTCTTAAAAATTTTTTGCAGGAATTCGGTGGAAAAGGCTATGGAAGAAGATGCTCCTGGACTCCTAAAGGTGTTCATCTAGATTGCAAATTTATTTTTATTTCATATGCATAATGATTTTAAACCTGATGTTATCTGTGTAGGCATTACTTGATAGAGGCATACAAGTTGAGGAAATTAAACTTTATGGGGATCTGGAAGATATTGATCCACTTGAAACCTTTTCTTCTGAAGGCAGTTTTGAAGAACTAGAAACTGTGATGTCTAAGGTTTCATTTGTGAACTTTATCAAACGTGTCCAATTATTCTGTCAGTTGCCTTTTCTTCCTCTTGGAGTAGTATTTTTTGCTAGTTATCTATATCTAATGTCCATGCTCTTCTTGCATCAAGTGGCTTGACTGAGATCTGACTCCAATTTGATCTTTATGATGTATTGATTTTGTAGAATCAGATTTGATTCCCCTAAATTTGGTATGAGGCGTCATTCTTAGTCTGATAATAGCTGGAATTCTTGCACTTATAATCATGGTTTAAAATTGTGTGATTGAGTATTGGTATATTTTTTGTCCATGAGACTAGGATTTTTGTGGCATAAGCTTTAAAATTAACAAATTGTACGGTGTATGAGGTATTATAGTAACATCAAAGCATGAAGTATGAAGTGACATTGATATCTTAATATTAAATCATAAATTAATAAGATTCATGCAAAGATCAATATAAGATAAAATATCCATGTAAGAATATTAGAAGTTCAAAAAATAAGCTCATCACAACATTTGGGTTATGCTCGTTTGTATTTATAAACAAGTTTCAAATAGTGATTATGGTTCTATTATGATTTGGAAATATTTCGATCAAAGTTCAAACAAGATTCAGTCTTTGTTGCAACCCAGTTCAGACAAGTTATAACAAGGTTAGTTAATTCAATTAAGTTTTGAGCAATTTTTGAGATTGAGGGATTGTTGACCTCATTTTTGCGAGGTCTTTACTTCCTCTTCATAGAGCTTACGATCTAGCCATATGACTTTCTTATCGACTATCTTAGAGAACTAGTATTGGAATCCATACCCTTAGAAATTTCAGCCACTTCCTATTTCTCTTGTGATGTCTCGCGTTGATGATCTCAAAACTATCGTCATATGGTCGAGTGATTAAGGACTATCATGTGGAGACTCAAGGAGAAGTTCCTAATAGGATCTCAAGCCTTATGAAAACCTTTTCATGACTTCATCATCACACACACACACACACACAAAATGCACAAAATTCACTAAGTTGCATAAGATCAGACTAAAATTGAGTTTAAAAGATGGGTGAAAATGCAAACTTCTCCGGACGACTTTCAATAACAAAATGGACTGCGCCAACGTCTGAGACACCAATTTTAACAAGAAAAGACACCCATATTGCCATAATTTTGCGCACAAGCAAATTGCACGAAAATTGATGAATTCGTTAAAACTACCTCCAACAGTGAAACGAACCACGCCGTGTTCGGAACGTCATGTACCTGGCTTAGAGTTTTTTTCTTTTAATTTATATATATATATATTATTAATTATAAAAAAATTATAATCCTAAAACCTATTTACTCACTTTCTCGCACACGTAACCCCCACTCGATCCCGCGACGCTCGTCTCGCCCCCTCTCGTGCCCTAAGATCCCGTGGCTCATCCACGCGGCGATCTCCTTCTCTCTCGACTCTTCTCCTTGATCTCCCGTGGCCCCTCGCCCTCTCGACTCTTCAATCGTGGGAGCTCGGCTGGCCGACCCTTCTTCTTCTCGAGGCTTTACTTTCTACTCCTTTATGGTGATGATTCACTCCCGTTGTCTGACGACCACCTTAGGGCTGGTAGTTGGCTGTCCCCCTCTCATCTCTGCCTATAAAAGGGCTTCTTAGGATGCTGTTTTGGGTTGTTGAAAATTTTGAGAGGAAAAGGAGTTTGAAGTGTTCGTTGGTTGCTGTTTCTCGAAGCTTTTAGGAAGAGGGTTCCTGTAGGAGGTGTTTTCTTAAATTTGTTTTACAGTTTTACTTTGAGTCTGCATTAAGAGGTATTTCTCTTCTTTTCTCTAATCTGCTTCTTTTAGGATGACACCTAAAAGTATTTATTTTCTCTTCTAAAGCATGTGAAAATAAGATTTTAGGCATGTTTTAAGATCTAGTCATGGATACTTGCCAGAATCAGTAAAATGAAGTATAATATGACTGCCTTCTCTTTTTCTGCTCGAAATACTTGGAGAAGTCATAGTTATGAACTCTGAAATGATATTTGCTAATCTAGAATTCATGCTGGAAATGAAATATTAATGCTTTTTATTATTTTTATTCCTGTTCAAGTAAATGTTGGAATTAATTTCAATATTGGATAATATGTTGGCATTAGGGATCCGTTTATGCTTATTCGTTCTCTGTTATCTGTTACTATTTGAAACATATGCTGGGCATAATATTTTGAGATACAAAGCTTCATGAGATTTGACTTTGATGGCTGGAAGTGTTGTCTTTTTGTTTTCCCCATTTGGTGGGCTCGGTTTACTTGGGATGTTTTCTCTATTTTTGGTCCCTTTTGCTGGGTTTGGTTTGGCCTGAAGCTAGGCTCGGTTTAGCTGGAAATTATATTTTGTTTTCATTTGGTGGGCTCGGTTTTGGCTTCCTTTTGGATTAGATGTTAGCTGGAAAGTATGTTTTGTTTTGACTCATTTAATAAGCTTAGTTTTGGTTTCTTTTGGATTAAAAGCTAGCTGGAAATTCTACCCTGATTCTACTATGTTTTGCCCATTTGGTGGGCTCGGTTTGGCCTGAGGTTTGAGCCCGGTTTTGCATGAGACTTGGCTTGATATGCCCCCTTTGCTGAGCTCAGTTTATTTGTCATAATTCTTTCTGTTGCCCCTATGTTGGGCTCGGTTTGCCCATGTGCTGGGCTCGGTTTGCCTCTGTGCTGCTTTCAATTTTGGCTCTTTTGGGTTGAACTCATATTGGAAATGCTGATCTGTTTTTCCATTGGGTGGGTGCGGTTTTGGCTTAAACTGTATTCTTTTCTTTAGCCTTTATATTGGGTTTAATTGGATTTGAGACAAGGAATTGATTTGGCTCAAAAGCTTATTTGCTGACTCTCTTTTATTGGGTTTAGTTGGGCTGAAACTGTGTTTATTTTTTTCTTGTCCCACCTCGTTGGGCTCGGGTGTGCCTGTTGTGATTCCCTGTCTTGCTCTTCTTGCTGGGCTCGGGTGTGCCTGCTGCGGTTCCCTGTCTTGCCCCTTTGTTGGGCTCGGTTTGGTTGGAAGTTCTTCATATAACGTTCCTCTCGAGATTGTTATTGATAATCAAGTTTGTCATCCCAAAATTTATGATTTCAATATCTACTTCTATATGGGAATGTTTGATATAAATGGATCAATTCACTATCATGTCTTGTTCAATAAAATGACTTCAATCTAGATAGTTTATGAGAGTTTGTCCATTCACTCTCTTATGTATATCAAAGGGGCATAATAACAATGTTGTGGTGGTTTTTCCTTGTTGCCCTTACCCGAGAGCATTAACATGATTCTCTTTGATTTTTGTTTGGTTGTTCCTTGCTTCCCCCTTCGCTGAGAAGCTGGTTTAGTTATTTTGGTCAGCTGTCTTTACCCATGAGCATCCTAGCTGCTTTCCTTTTGCCTGTTTGGCCGTTCTCTGCTACACCCCCTGGCCGTGTGCCTTCACCTGTAGCTCTTTTATGTTAAATATGTTTGATTTGGGGCTTGGCTTTCTCCTCGCTGCCCCCGGCCGTGAGCCTCTGTTGTGATTCCTTGGTTTGTGCCGTGGTTGGTTTGGGCTTAGCTTTCTTCTTTATTGTCCCTTAGCCGTGAGCCTTACCTTGTGATTTCTTTATATGGCAAATTGGAGAGTGGTGGTGTTGGGCTGCTCTCTTTATGGTCCTTGGTCGTGAGCTTGTTTTGGGGCTGGGCTGCTCTCTTTGTGGTTCATGGCTGTGAGCTTGTTTTGGGGTTGGGCTATTCTCTTTCTTATCCCTACCCGTGGGATTATTTTGGTATTGGATGTCCGTCTCTGTTGGTTGTCTCTCTTGGTTGTCCGTCTCTGTTGCCCCTGGCCTTGAGCACTTATTTGGTTTTATTTGGATAATTTCGTGCTTATATGGTATGGAAAGCTTTTGGTTGGAGTTGGAATTGGATGGCTTTAGTGTCTCCAAGATTTTGGGAATTCTAAAAGTTGTCGTTAGTGGATTTGCTTGATTTGTGAAATTTGAAGGCCTCTACAGTTTTGTGTTGGAAAACATGAGATGATATAGATCGGATTCATAAAGAATTTAAAAGAAAACTTGTCAAATTGTCATTCATAAAGGAGTTTTGGAAGTTTGACATTAAAATTTGGATAACATAAATGCCACACTTGGGTTTAGGCTTGGGTGTGTGAGTACATATAGGTGGTGGAGTCGTGAGTACAAATGTCTCATTAGTTTTGGGCCCGTTTCGACCTGTTCGAAACAAAATTTGGAGGATACTTTTCTTGGGTTGATCCAATTATAAAATTAAAAAAAATGATATTCTTCTTGGATTGATTCAAGGATATTGGGCCCTTCTTTTCAGATCTTTTCGTTATAAGTTTTGAGGGTTGATTCACCCTTCGTCTTTTCTTCCTTTTGGGTGGATCAATTCCTCCTCCCTCTCATCCCCATTTTTTTAATTTTTTTTCCTTGTTTCTTGGTACGGTTTTCAGTGCTTTTGTCTGACACATAAGTGCATACATACAACCTTTTGCTATATATGAAACCATCAAGCAAGCATCAAGCAAGAGCGCAAATAAATCGGTTTTGTTTTGAGGCTTAGGGCGGTGATGACAAAGGCACTCTGGAGGTAGGGCGAAATAATATTCGATCATACGATATCAGGACCCAATCCTGGGACCTGATGAACCGTAGGATGACAGTATCATTCACTAACACAATACTACCGGTGGACCCGTATACCCGTCCCTTCTTAGGTTGTTGGCGGTCCTACGCCCGACGACGTGATCGATTCGTGGACAACTATACTTTTCAAAACTGATAAGAACAAATATGATAAGAATAGATATAATATTTATAAAAATATTTTCAATACAAAATTGATACAATTTTCTTTTTGTATGTCTGAAATTTATGTGCATGCTAAAAATATAAATTTTAAATGTACTGTAGCTTGATTGTCTACTTGTTGATTACCAGTATCGGGCTAAGGAGTACCCTCCCAAGTTAGGTTTAGTAGGACACTCTTCTAGTTGAGTGGTGGGCTCTATACATCCGGGTGATCGATAGTAGTCTTCGATGTCCCTCGAGTACAAATATATTATATTTGAGCCTAGCCCAGACCCGAGTGCTTGCGAACCCCCTCTTTTCGGATTTTTTCTTGAATGTTATATTAGAATTTTTGGGCAAAACACTCATGGTCTTTTTTCTGGGATCTTCCCGAGATTTTGATAATTTTCTTGGAATTGTCATTTGTCAATTTTTTTTTCCCGAGTTTTCCGTCGTGAGTCATTTGTCGATTTTTCCGAGTTTTTCGTCGTGGGTCATTAGTCGATTTTCTCGAATTTTTCAGGCAATGTTTCTTTTGTTTATACAGTGTATACTAGCTCGCTTAAAGGAGCAGCAGACCTCCCAGATATACATGTTTGATTTACATTACAACATTTTACTTCACATCATACTGTACTGTTCTTTTTTCGTTATACTGCATGCTTTATTGTTCTGTTATACATTATACCTCTGTGTAGGAAAACCTAATGATGACATGTACCCTTTAAAACAAATATCAAACCAGAAGGTGCTATGATGGGGAGCTCGGAGCGAACACCGTATGCAGCACGACGAGGACACTCAGAAGAGCAACATTAAAACAAATTCACATCACTAATCACTTTCCTTAGTTTAAATAACAACCCATAGGATTTCGAGATGGTTTGCCTAGTGCAGCGTAAATCATTACATGTAACCTTTAGGCTTTTGCATAACTCTGTTGTGCAATTATAAGTCCTGACACTTTAAGATTTTGAGGTTGCTGTACGATACGGTATAAATCTTTCTATCTTTTTAGGCCATTTGTACGATCATATATTGTGCGAATGTAAGTCTTAAATTCTAAAAAAAATTACAGGATTGAACATTGAATAAAATCACTTCAAAGACATAAAACTAAATAATAGGATAGTTGGGAGGTCACCGGGGTTTTCCCTGGATCTGTGATATCCCCTACTCTTCATTCCTTTGGATTCCTTAAAATAATTCTTTCTTTTTGAGCCACTCCCGTTTGATTTTTCCGTGTTCAATCTTGGAAACCTAAACTTTGAAATCTTGAAGGCAGAATCACTGATCTTAATCGAGAGTTTTCTTGAGCGATCCCGATCATTTGAGATGTAATTAACTCTAGGAGTTTGCCTCTATAGAGAACTTGGAATCCAGGTAAAACAAACACTATCTAATTTTTTATATTAGGTAGGGAAACTTGTTGGCCTCATATAAAATGTTTTGCAGACTAAACAGATGTCACATTCTTTAGTTTAGGTGATTGAGTCTACTACAAGCGATATGCTTATTCTTCGGGATAAAAGTATTACTTGTGGTATTGTGCTCAGTCATCCAAACTATTCAAAATGTGAGACCCGTTTGGTCTCATCTCTTTTCAAAAAATTAAAAAATATATTACTTTCAAAAATCAAAATCACATAGTTATATTTAAACTATTTTCATATGTACAAAATTTTTTTTTTTTTTTTTTTTTTTTTTAACCAGAAAGTTAAAAATAACGGCCTACAGAGATGGGACGGAGGGACAAGGAGCTGGTTGGGAAAAGAGGTGTTAGATGGTCCCAATATTCCCACAACAACACGTCATAGCTCATAACTCTAAAGTGAATAAGGGTGTAGGTGTTAAGTGATGTTGGTGATAAATTATTGTGTGATGTCATTCTAGTGATGGCTTCAGCATTTCCCTTTTCTTGATTGGTGTCTCTTGAATCTTGGTTTCTCATCCGAGTAAGCAGAATAATATTCCTCGTCGTAGTTCCTTGTTGATTTGATGCCACTATCTCTTGAAATATTGTATTCTCCATTTTCTCCTCGTACAGAGTTTTACGTTTGTGATGCTAGAAATATGATGCAAGACACGTGGAATTAAATAACCTTGAGTTAGATTAATGATTATGGAGTTTTGGTTGTGAGGTTATAGTCATTTGGCGTCTTTTAGCCTTAAAAATTTCATTGAAAAGATTTATAAATTAAATCACTTCAATATCGCCCATAAATTTTAACTCTCAATGGGTATCCAACTTGGAGCGAAATATTTACTTCTATGTGTATTCTTCAAATCTCACTCCTTTTTTTGATCAATCTGTGATAGACCAAATTACTCTGCTCATCATGCTCTTCTAGATGATTTATTTCTAAGAATTTCATTTAATTTATTCTTATAGTAGCATTTCTGCATATTTTAATAGTTGTACTTGAACTTTTTGTACCATATGTATGATATTACTGTAAGAAACATCTGCATAATCTTTGAATATCTTGAATATTTTGAATATTCTATTACAAATTTAAGTTATCAAAACTTTTTAAGTTTTATTCTATTATGTTTGCACCCAAACACCTTCTTTGTGATGACGACCTTTATCTTTGAAATTTTGTTAGGGGTAGTTTGATGTAAAATTGATTTTTTTTTCTATCATTGGAGTTCTCCCATCTCGAAAGATAATCATTCAAATAGAGCATTTTGTTTGTTAAGCTGTAAAGATAATAAACAGCTTTAGATTTAGTTGTGCTGTGGCTCACCCAATTTTTGAAGGCCAAGCAACTCATTGGTGCTGAGTATTTTCTTCTGTGTACCTAGACTTTGATACAGCATTTGATATTCTATGCATGGCTATTTGGTGCATTTATTTATTAAAAATAACAATTGTAAAATGTAATAAATGCAGAGAGAATACCTGTGAATTCAAATATTGATGTGATGTCAATGTTCACAATTTTTTCCATTGAGCTAATCAAAAATGAATCCCTACAAAATTGTGGTGTAAAGATTTTGATTGAAATTAAAATAGGGTGGGATGAAAGCACTCGTGAACTGTTAGAATGTAAGCATTGAGTTAGTCTTCCCATTTGGGGGATCAGTGAATATGCCAAATTTGGATGTCAACTTTATTGAAAGAGAGAAGATTCAAGGTACTATTAAGACGAGTCAAGCTGCAAAAGACTAGTGAAGGATTTATCTATTGTGGTTGTTATGGGTCTTGAATATTGACTGAAATTGCCTACAAATGGCAATTTGTGTGGTGCCCATAGGCGAAAGATTAAGGGTGCTTAATCTAAATAAAGAATTATAATTAAGAGGTCAACTATTATGCAATAGGGTTGTAACTTTGTTTATTACTTTTATCTGAACTGACTATCAAGTAGTAAATGTGAGTCCTGAAATGTAGATCCACCCTTGTTACTAGTGTATGCTTTAGAAATGATTATTTTGTTGCTAATGTTTAACCTGAGACTCGGCTGGATTCTCAACAGTATTCATATTGGTAATACCTAAAAACACTTCACAAAGCTCAATGATTAAAAATTTTTTCTGACACACACACACACACACACACACACACACACACACACACACACACA